TTGTTTCATCCCTTTTTTTTTTTTCAAATTTGGCTATGTCTGATCAGGCGGGCTGTATGTTCTTTGTTGTTTGCTCATCTGTGGACACAATACTTTTCACCTCCTTCTCCAACTGGCAGGGTCAGTCACTCAGATATGATATGGCAGGGCAGGTCTAGCTGAAGAGGAGTTACTGGGACTGTTGTTTGTGGCACTTACTACAGCCACCAGGGCGGGTCGGTAATCAGTGCAGGGCAGGTTCCAGGAGGCCATGCCTGTGCTGCTTGGTGGTGTGATGTTAAGTGCACCGTGCAGGTAGGCAGGATGTAGCAGGGAGATGGTTATGTGTGGAGCTAAGATGGATATGGGAGAGAGGAGAGAGGAACAGGAGCCAAAAACATACAAACAAACAAAAAAGAATGCTAGGGGAGCTTCCGTTGGAGTGGAGAGATGAGAGACTATGAAATGGAGAAAAACAAAAAGGGGAAGAGGAAGAAAAAAAAAGAAAAGAATGAATAAATAAAAATTGGAAAGCGAAAAGAACACCAAAGTTCCCAGGGATCCCACTGGTGCGGCTATGAGATCTGGGGAAGTTGTTCTCAGGTGTTGCAGTACAGCCTGGCTAGAAGGAGTAGAGGTATACAACGCCAGGTATTCAGGGAACAGAAATAGAAGGAAGATATAGAGAGACGAGAAACTGAGTAATGAAGAAAGACAAAAAGGGAAAAAGAGGGAAAAGAAAACAAAACAAATTTAAAAAAAATAAAAACAACAAGAAATGCCCCCAAAAAACAGAAAAAAAAAAAAAAAAACAATGAAAAAAGAAATGCCCTCAGGGATCCCTCTGTGCATCCGTGCAAGCCGAGGGGGTAGGCTCCAAGCCGCACAGCACCGCCCAGCCAGAATGGGCTCCCAACTCAAGAAAACGAAAAGAAAACTAATAAACAACCCCAAACAAACGAACAAAAGCCCCGGGATCCCACCAGTGTGGCAGCCCAGACTGGGAAGCAGCTCCACACTGAACGGAGCTCTACAGCCCCTCAGGAAGAAGCAACGATGGCTCAAGGAGTCTGGTGTTTGAGCGAAAGGAGGGGGAGATGGTGAGAGGTGAGGAAGAATCAAAAGAAGTGGAAAAAAGGCAACACCAGCAGCCAACAAATGGTACTCAAAGAGCCAGCTCGCACGGGCTGGTGGAATCCCAGCAACTGATGCTTCCCAGACAAGGGACTGTGTCCACGGGAAGCAGAGGAGGCCGAGTGTGGGTGAAGAAGGGTAGGAGGTGGGAAAGTGTATATCACAAATTACCGGAGCTCCACAGCCCCTCAGGAAGAAACAAAGATGGGGCACGGAGCCAGGTATTTGAGTGAAAGGAGGGGGAGGTGGTGAGAGGTAAGGAATAAATCAAAAGAAGCGGAAAGAAGCAACACCAGCAGCTGACAAATGGCACTCAGAGAGCCGGCCCGTTTGGGTGGGTGGAATCCAAGCAGCCGGTGCTTCCTGGACAAGAGATTGTGGCTGCAGGAAGCAGAGGAGCCCGAATGGGGGTGAAGAAGGATGGGGGGTGGGAAAGCGTATATCACAAATTACTGGTTGTTTTGTCTCCCGCTGGAAGCTCCGTGAAGCTGCTTTCTCATACCCCATGTTTGCTAGTCTTGGATAGGAGTCCAAGATGGTGGATCCGTGCTGCATTAGCTGATAGGGGACCTCTGCATGAGTCTCTCCTCACTCTCCGTTCTCTGTCAGTTTTCTCACTCCATTTGGTGCTTGGCTGAGTTCTTTGTCTCTTCATTTGATGTTTTAGGGTTTCAGGATTGTTGTTTTCTCTGTTCGGCTTAGTTTTTTGGATCTTTGCTGTGGAGGGACGGTGTGGTAATTCTGCCTAGAGCGCCATTTTGCCAGAAGTCCCCCACACCATCATTTTTTGACACAGGTTCTTATTCCCTGTGAAAGAAAGTATCCTTCATAAGGGGGCTATATCTTGTTTTGGGTACCTGAGACACCCTCCCATTTGGCACAATGGTTAAGCACTCAGCTGCTAACTGAAAGGTTCCACCAGCCGCTCTGCAGAAGAAAGATGTGGCAATTTGCTTCCTTAAAGATTACAGCCTTGGAAACCCTATGGGGAAGTTCTACCCTGTCCTACAGGGTCGCTATGAGTTGGAATCGACTCGATGGCAATGAGTAATAGTAATATGCTGAGCAGACATAAGGAAAATTATCCATGGTCTTTGGTATTGAGGTGCATAATTTGTTCAAATTTTGGAAAGGAGGTTTCTTGGAGATGTGTCTCCCACTTTTGCTATTTTAAATTCCTTCTCTGCAGGACCCAGCCATTTCTGGCAATGAGACCGGGTATCTCCCCTTCACCAGGGGGCAGGCAGACAACGTGTTCATCAAATGGCCAGACAGCAGTGACATTGTCTGGGGGAAGGTAAGGCCGAGGAGAAGGTGTCTGTCCCTAATCAGCACCCCAATGTCTTGATTAAAAGATTCTCTCAATAAATCCTGGAAAAATATATCTGGTAATGAATAAATTATGAATGAATAGGAATCTGTCTGATACTGATTAGCTCAGAAACATTTCTAAAACCAAGGTTACAGGTCTTACCCTCTGCAACATCACTTTGTTTTGTTGTCTGAACGTACTCTGATCTGCTCCCCACCTCTTGTATTCCAGATTGTCATTTCACAAACACAAGGAACCTTTTTGAGAATGACTCTGAAATCTGTGTCTCCCAATCACCCACAATCAAAACTTGCCTCTTTGACCCATGAGGCTTAATCAGCCTCTGTCTATAAATCTAGGTCACTGGGTGGCACAACTGGTTTGCAATCAGCTGTTAACTTAAAGGTTGGCAGTTCGAACCCACCCAGCAGTGCCACAGAAGAAAGGCCTGGCAATCTGCTTCTGTAAAGATTACAGTCAAGAAAACCCTGTGGGGCACAGTTCTACTCTGACACACATGGGGTCGCCGTGAGTCAGAATCGACTCAATGGCAACTGACAACAACATATCTAAATCAACCACTAAGTTGTATAGCTCGTCCTCCTTCCCTTCCCTGCTTTAATTCCTTCAGGGGACCTCAGTTCTAATCCTTGTGTTTCTGATTTATAACACCTGCGTGGTAGGTGGACTCCCTGACTCTTGAGGAGGGGACTCAGACTCTGTTCTCGCGATATACGTCACTGCTTCCTGTTGCTTGGGGCACATGCCATGCTCACCATGCCTTGAATGTTGACTTCTCAGCTTAGCCAAATAATATCTGCACTTCAAGAACCACCTTAAATCTTACCCCTGCGAAGCATTCAGTGACTAGTTTAGCTCTCCTTATTTCTTCGTTGTCTGTATCATAACCCTTGGAAGGTACAGCATACAACCAGGTACTTACCTACCATCTATGAACTCTTAGAAAACAAGGGCTATTTCTTATTTCAGTCTCCGTAGATACAGAACCTAGAACAGTGTCTGGCACACAGTAAGTGCTCAATAAGTGTTTGCTGCATGAACCAGTTAATAAATGTGTGTGGGTATTACCATGGATTTTGTAAGGCTTTAAAGACTGGGGCCCCCAAAACCTCCATGAGCTGTGACTGGAACTCAGTCTTATTTTTTTAGAGTCACACTTCACAGTTATCATTTGTAGAGGGAATTCTGTGCCAGGGTCTATGACTGGTAGATCAGAAAGGTGAATAATCACTTGAGAGGTGATTGTTTGGAGGACACGTTTAAAATGGACCAAGTCAATCATCAAGTTCAGAAATGAGATTTTGGAAATGAGTCAAGAGGTGGAATGAGTTGAGAGATCCCAGCTCCTTCCATCAAACAGAGTTTCTTATATTTGCCTTTACAATTTACTTAATGACCAAGATCCCCAAGCATTTTCTGGAGATTGAAACCATCAGAGTCTGATGTGAAACATCTCGTTGTTGTGTGTGCAGCGCCTAGGAAGGTTCTGACTTTTCTTCTTCTGCTCCAGGCTTGGCCGGATCTGCCCAATGTTAATGTGGATGAATCCCTCGACCATGAGACTCAGGTGAAGGTACAGTTGCCCACACTGCCCCAAATGTCTGGATATCTGGGCATTTTATCCTGATGTTAAGTAGCTTTAATCTGAGTGTGCTCGTCAGCTGGTAGAATCTTGGAGAGAGTGACGGTCAAATAGAAAACTCCAGCAAGAACTAAAATGGAAATGTGTAGCAGGAGATCCCTCCACATGAGTTCCTTTAATGGGTTGTGTTTTGTTTGAAGCTGAAGTTGCTTTAAAAACAATGAACCAAAGTCTAGGATATGTTCAGCAAGGTGGTATCCATCCTGAACAGACTGGGTTTTAATGAATCGTCTACATGTAACAGAAAATGCAAGCCCCTTTGAAGGAGTAATGCCTTGATCTCAGCACCTGCTGGTATTCACACAGCCAGGGCATCTGGCATCTCCTGGATTCTGCAGCTCCTTCTTCCCTGGACGACTGGTCCTCCTTCATTTATTTGGCCAGTGTAGAAAAGCCGTTTGTATCTCTGAAGTTCAATTGTTCAGGCAGGGACTGCTAATTTTCCAGTTCTCATGATTAAACACCCAGTCATAAAACAAATCCCATAAGACTCTCTAGGAAAATAAGAACGTTTTGTAGGAAATAAAATATATGACCTGCCTTCCCTGGTTTCTTTGTGTCCCAGTAGATGGGGCAGTGGTGGCAGATCTGAGGTTAGGTCAGAGAGGGAGGTTCTGTGCTTGGCCCAGGTGCCTGCCCAGCTGCCCTTCCTGGCCCCGGACCCCATCCCTGGGCAGGCTGAGACCCACCTTGAGGGTGTGTGTTACTCTCCCAGCTGTACAGGGCCCACGTGGCATTTCCTGACTTCCTACGCAACAGCACAGTTGCATGGTGGAAGAAAGAAATACAAGAGCTCTATGAAAACCCTCGAGAGCCAGAGAAGAGCTTGAAGTTTGATGGGCTGTGGCTTGTAAGTGTACCTCTGGTTGTTCTTCTTTGCAAGTGTTGGTGGCCAGAACATGGGGAGCAATCCAGAGACTAGCAGAGCAGGGGCTGAGGCTGGAGGGATGTGAGGGAGGGGTGCTGCTACAGAAGGGAGGCTCTGGGAGATTACTGTGGGCCTGCTGGGGTTTGGATCCCATGGAGGAGATGCTGCAGAGACAAGAGGAAGGGGAGAAATACTCTGGCTTCTCTCCTCCCATTGGCCACACCCACCCAGAAGCCAATGGGAAGAGAACCTGAGAGCCCCTCCCCATACAGAGCAGATTTGGGGCAGGCAGGAGTGAAGCTGAGGGCCAGCAAGCATTCCCACAGTCCTGGTGCCAAGGCTCTGGGGAGCTTGCAAGGTCTGTTACCTAGAAACACCGTCTGTCCAGGTGTGGTGTACACATCCATGGTCTCAAGAGCCGGATTTCCTGAGAACCTCTAGGACACACATCCAAGGACTCTTAAACCAAAGCAGTTGTAGTTCAGTCGATTCTGACTCACAGAGACCCTGTAGGACAGAGTAAATGTGCCCCATATGGTTTCCAAGGCTGTAATCTTTGCCAAAGCTGACTGCCACATCTTTTTCCCACGGAGCAGCTGGTGGGTTCGAACCGCTGACCCTTCTGGTAGCCACCGAGCACTTTAGCCACTGCACCACTAAGGAATGAGAATGGGAACATTTCTAGGGAATGGGAACATGTCCGATTTACCTCCCCTCTGTCCAGTGGACTGAATCTTGACTGTGGTCTAGGCCAGCTCTGCAGAGCCCCTGGGGTCCAGGCCAGGCTGCAGGAAGCTCCTGACTCACCAACCCCAAGAGGCGAGTCAGACAGTGAGGAGACTGGGCAACTTTGAGGAATGAGAGATGCTGGTAGCTCCGAGCTCTTTGTTCCAGCGGAGTGAAGCAAACCCTGGTGGCACAGTGGTTAAGAGCTCGGCTGCTAAGCAAAAGGTCGGCAGTTTGAATCCACCAGGTACTCCCTGGAAACCGTGTGGGGCAGTTCTACTCTGTCCTATAGGGTCGCTATGAGTCGGAATTGACTCGATGGCAACGGGTTTGGTTTGTTTGGTTTTTAAGATAGTGAATAATTCCCTGAACACTTGGACTTGTGTTTAGTTTGTGCTGTTTAGGACAGTCCAATATACAAAATTTAAACTTCTCCATTGATAAGTAAGTAGGCAGGGAATAGTCACCTCAGGAGTCCTTGCATTTAAGTAAGAAATTCTCCCCAAGGATGATCTCATTCCCAGATTTATTTCCGAGTTACTGACAACTTTCCAGGAATGCGTCTACTGCAGAAAGCAAGGAACTCCTCCTTGTACTTGGTCTTCACCAAGTAGTTCAAACTACTGGGCTAAGAAAGGGTAAGGGGGATACTATTGACGTTTGGCTACATGACAGCAAAGAACTCAAGCATAGAAAGCAGCCATGAGCTTCTTGTGTGGCGAAATGAAGCAAGAGGTGTTTCCTTAGGCTCTGGGTCCAGCATAATCTCAATATTTTTGCCAGTATGAAACAATCCTCACAAGCTTAAAAATGCCAAGTAAGCTAAAACCAGTTGCCGTGGAGTCAGCTTCAACTCCTGGAGACCAGGAGTGTCAGAGTAGAACTGTGCTCCATGGAGTTTTCAGTGGCTGATTTTTCAGAAGTAGATCACCAGGCCTTTCTTCTGAGGTGCCTGTGGGTGGACTCAAACCTCCAACCTTTTGGTTAGCAGCCAGCCAAGCACATTAACCATTTGCCCCATGAGGAGCATATGACCCCCCCTCTCCCCACCCCAAGCCCGCACATTTGCTTAGAGCCCATTTGAGTCTGCGCCTGGGGTTAAGGAGAGTAAATTCAGCTTCCAGCTGGTGGGTGAGGCTTCCGTACAACCCAGCCACCTCCCCAAGCTCAGCGTCCTCCATAGCAAAGGCCATGTTGCCCTGATGTTGTGAAATCTTTGCTAACTCATTTCAGGATATGAACGAGCCATCAAACTTTGTGGATGGATCCGTCAGCGGCTGCCAGGATAGCATTCTGAATAACCCGCCCTACATGCCATGTATGTACAACGGTTATACATCAAGTCATCCTCTGCCTGCAAACCTCGCAGGTTGCCCCTTACAGTCAAAGTAAAGGCTAATGCGGGACACAGGACAGTCTCTCGAAAACGTGGCATAAAACCCGATAGAATGTTCTTGAGTAAGTGGAAAGACGTTCATTACTAAGCAGGCATAGAAACAAGGACATGAAGTGGTATGGAAGACAGAGCAGGGCCATCTGATTACCTTGGTGACAAGGAACTGATTTCTAAAACTCTCAACTATCCCCTTCTCTCTCGTCTCTCCCTCCCCTTCCTGCTCTCTCTCTCTCTCTGTGTCTCTCTCCTTCCCTCCCTCCCTCTCTCTACCTCCTCCTCCTCCTTTCTCTCTCTCTCTGTCTCTCCCTCCATGTCTCTCCCTCTGTCCCTCTCTCCTTCCTCTTCTCTGTCTCCTTCCTTCCCCCTCCCTCCCTTTCCCTCCTCTTTCTCCCTCCTTCTCCCCCCTTCCCTCTCTCTCTGTTCCTCTCTCTCTCTCTCCTTCCCTGCCTCTTCTTCCCTCTCTTTCTTTCTCCTTCCCTCCCTTTTTCCCCCCCTCTTTCTCCCTCTCTCCTTCTCCCTCCCTCCCTCTCTCTCTTTCTTGATTAGAGAATGAAACCTAGTCCCTGCCTCTCCCTGCCTGTGTTCAAAGACATTTCATGAAGGATACACCCTGGCTGGACTGTGGTGCAAACAGAAACAGAGACTCATAGTGCCCTAGGATGGGAGGGGTTGAGCCCCCTCCCCTTACAGAGGCCCAGGAGGGGAGTAACCCACCTCCCCAAAGCACTGTACTGGTCATTTGTGAGAGAGGATCTAGAATCCAAGTCACCTCTATGTTGCCCATTGCTCAGTAACTCACTTACTCACTCATTCACTCACTCATTCACTCATTCATTTTCACCTTCTTCTCTTAATTTAGTATTTTATGTGTCAGGAGGACTGGAAACATGAATAGAGTTGGTTGAAACAGGATCTGTTCCCGTGAGAAGATCACCATCTAGTGGGATAGACAGACATGACAGGAGAGTGTATTGGGTTGCTACTCTGGCTGTGATTTTGTTGTTGTCAATTGCTGCCTAGTTGATTTTGACTCATGGAGGCCCCACGTGTCAGAGTAGAACTGCTCCAAAAGAGTTTTCAAGGTTGTGACCTTTCAGAGGCAGATCACCAGGTCATTCTTCTGAGGTGCCTCTGGGTGGGTTAGAACCACCAACCTTTCAGCTCTTAGTCGAGCGCTTAACCGTTTGCACCACCCCAGGGAGCCACTGGGCTGTGATAGCACTAGAGCAAAAAGGAGAGTGTGTCTGCCAGCACCACGCCCTGTCCTCAACCCTCATCAGTTATAAAGTCGCCAGTTGTGGATTGGGTGGGCTAAACACCCTTAAAATTGGACCTGTTACTGGTAACAGCATTGTTGATTGAAATAGGGAAACAGAAAATGATGGGCATTTCCAGGGAATCTGCAAGTCAAGTCACTTTGGAAATAACTAGAATCTCCCCTCAGCTCTGGAGTCCAGGGACAGCGGCCTGAGCAGCAAGACGCTGTGCATGCAGAGCCAGCAGGTGCTGGCGGACGGCTCCCTGGTGCGGCACTACGACGTGCACAGCCTGTACGGCTGGGCCCAGACCAGGCCCACCTACGAGTGAGTGTGCCCTTGTCATTGGCAGCACGGGACTCAGTGTGCAAAAGGGACCCAGCTGTGTGAGGCGGAGCAAAGCAGAGTGAACATGGCTGCAAAGCTGTCCTTCATCTCACTTCCAGCTCTGCTCCCTTGCTCTTAAATGATCTTTGACATCTCGTCTACCTTCTCCAGCCTCAGTTTCCTCACAGCTAGAGGAGGGCAGGAAAACCTTCCTCATAAGTTGTGAGACAGGACACTTGAGAGTGGGCAGAATGACCCTGGATGGAGGGATTGCTCGGCAGATGCCTGTCCTACCTCCAGCACTTCTTTACCTCCATGTAAACCAAAACCAAACCTGCTGTCCGTCGAGTCGATTCCGACTCATAGCGACCCTGTAGGACAGAATAGAACTTCCCCGTAGGATTTCTAAGGCTATAACCTTTATGGAATCAGACTGCCACATCTCTCTCCCGTTCAGTGGCTGGTGGATTCGAACCATGCTTAACCACTGTGCCACCAGAGCGCCTCACCTCCATATAGACAACCAGTGAATTAGAGTTTTAAAAAGAAGGAAGTCCTCGTTCTGGGTGCTGACATGCCTGCAGCTGTCCTTCTGGAAGCTCACTGGGGTCTAAGTATCCCTTGCAGATGGTGGACCCTCTCAGAGAGAAGCTCCCGGGTACAGAAGGGAGCAGCTGCTGCTTTCGCTCAGGCTGCAGCTGCTTTCTGGGTGAAGTCCTCTGGTGTTCTCCTCAAAGCCACTTCAGCTCACCTCCTTGTCCCCTCCACCCAGAGCTGTGCAGCAGGTGACAGGGCAACGAGGTGTTGTCATCACCCGCTCCACCTTCCCCTCCTCTGGCCGCTGGGCAGGACACTGGCTGGGAGGCAACACGGCCTCCTGGGACCAGCTGAGGAAATCCATCATCGGTGAGGAGGCTCGTTCCTGGGGCACGTGGGCAGGGGGCGCTGGGGTGTGGGGTGAAATCAACATGAGCTGAGGCCCCCAATGGTGTGCATGTTGGTCTAGATGCATCTTTAGGTATTTTCACCAGAAGTGGCCCAGGGCTCTCCAGCAGGGTTCAGAAGAGGCAGGTGAAACACCCTCTTTCCCTAAGTGCTGCTTGGTCCAACCCAGCGGTGTCTTCTCTTTGCAGGCATGATGGAGTTCAGCCTCTTTGGAATGTCCTATGTAAGTGGCACTGGGCCATCTAGTTACACAGCCAGATCTCAGGAGCCAGCAGCCTGCATGAGCCCACCTCATGCCTGATATTGCCCCTTCTCAGACAGGAGCAGACATATGTGGCTTCTTTGGAAACGCGGAATACGAGATGTGCGTCCGCTGGATGCAGCTGGGGGCTTTCTACCCTTTCTCCAGGAACCACAACACCATCGGGACCAGGGTGAGACAGTCGTTCACACCCTCAAATCACGACTTCCTGTCCTTCATTCTCTATATTTTAGAGTAGTTTCAGGTTTACAGAAAAATTGGGTACAAAGTACAGAGAGTTCCCATATGCACCCCCCGCCCACATACTCACACATAGGGTTTCCCTTATTATTAAAATTTTACATTCCTGTCGTACCTGTGTTACCATTGATGAGCCAGTATTGATACATTTTAACTGAAGTCCGCAGTTCACATTAGGATTCATTCTGTGTTGTACAGTCTTATGGGTTTTGACAAATGTACCATATCCTGTATCTACCATTACAGTATCATGCAATGTAGTTTCACGAGTATCGTACTTACGTCCTGAGAAAAAATTAAAATCACCAGAATCCCCATTTTGTGGAAAACCCAAAAAAACTCTGAACCCTCAAGTTGTCAGTCATTCTTAACAATATACGCTTCCCATCTCCAGGGAAACAGTCCTATGAGGAGAGGAATTTAGTATAGCTTCCCAATGGGCTTGCATAGAAGAAGCCCCCTTTCCTTTTAAAAATGCTTGGTTTGTGTTTTGCTCAAATCCACTCAAGATATGTTTGTGCTGCCTGGAGTCCTGTCTCCACATGCACACGGGGTCAAAGCCAGACCTGTGTAGGGACGTGAGAACTGGGGACAAGAGGAGGAAGAGAAGCCCTAGTCTGTAGAATGGTGGGGAGGGGAGGCTGGGCTAGGAGTGAGGTGTAGCCCACAGTGGGGTACATATCAGCTGACCCTTCTCTGACACCACAGGGAGGGAGTGAAGGAGGGACTTCTGAGTGTCCTCCTTTCTCATTTAGAGACAAGATCCTGTGTCCTGGGATGCTGCCTTTGAGAACTACTCCAGGAGCGTCCTGCAGACCAGATACACCCTGCTGCCATACCTCTACACCCTGATGCACAAGGCCCATGTCGAGGGCAGCACTGTCGTCCGGCCCCTTCTCCATGAGTGAGTCTTGCTTCTTCCCATGCAGCGGGACTGGGTGTGTGGTAAACAACCCTCACAACTGGTGTGCCAGGAGGGGTGAGTGCTTCTCATGCATCCTTTAAGGTTTGCAGATGACACTAAGACCTGGGAGATCGACTGTCAGTTCATGCTGGGTCCCGCCATCCTGATCAGCCCTGTGCTGGAAAATGTGAGTTCCCGTCATCATCAGAAACCCTCCAATCTCGTCATCGAGAGTTCATGAAGACAGCCAAAAGACCACCTTTTCTGGTTCCCTGTCGCTGTGGTGGTTGTTGGCTGCAGAGCTGAATCCAACTCATGGTGACCGCTATGTGACAAAGTAGAACTGAGCTCCACAGGGTTTTCTCGGCTGTAATCTTTACAAAAGCAGATTGCCAGGCCATCTTCCATGGTGCCACTGGGTGGGCTTGAACCACCAACCTTTAGGTTAGCAGTGGATCACAAACCATTTACACCACCTAAAGACCTATCCAGTTCCCTGCTGCCAGGCAAATCATGTCTGGGACCTCTGAGGGGGTCTTTCTTTTTTTCTTCAATGTCTTAGTTAGTGAAATCTTCATGACCTCCTCCTTGAGTTCTCATTTTAGAATTCTATCACCTTGTGCCCTTATAAAATTTGATTTTTAAAAAAAATTCACCTTTCTGTGTTTTTGAAGATGAGTTTCCTAGGACTTTTCAAAATAAAACATCTCAAAATCGGTAATAAAATTCCCATTCTGATCTTAATTCTACTGAGAATGTTTTAAAAATCGAAATTAAACCATTTCCTTAGTGACATATTCCCAACGACATGTGGATTTTACGTTCCAGGGTACTTCTGCGATCTCCGCTTACTTCCCCAGAGCCCGCTGGTATGACTACAGCACGGTAAGAACTCACCTCTTGTTCTGTGGGTCTTTGAAGGCTACAGAGGTGGCCAGAGCTTTCTCCTGACCTCCAGGCCCATGTTCTCTAGTCAACACTGTCCAACCCTTTCAGCTATGGCAGGGTTTGTCTAAACACAAGTCAAGTTTATGTAAACGGGTAAATAGAGAAAACCTGGGCACCCATTTCACATTGGTCCTTCTCACTCCTCTCCCCCCATCTTTTTGGAGCACCTTTTGAGAGGACTTCTTGCCCCTGTATTGAACACAGAGAGGCGACTAGGTTTCCAGAGCTTTTGGCAAAGCTGAGAATCACACTTTCTCCTTAGGTTTGCAGTGTTGTGCCAACTTTCCAAACGTGCTTCCTGGAAAGGAAGGACTTGTAATAAAGCACATGTTTATTCTACTTATTTGTCTCCACTCATTGTGGATGTTCTCCCTTCCAGGAATCAGGTGAGGAGTCGGCAGGTGAGCAGAAGATCCTGGCCGCTCCCCTTGACCACATCAACCTTCACGTCAGAGGAGGCTACATCCTGCCCTGGCAAGAGCCTGCTATGAACACTCACTACAGGTGAGGACAACGAGTTGCCGGCCAGTCGATTCTGAATCATGGCGAGTCCTTGGATGGTGCAAACGGTTAATGCACTCAGCTGCTAATCGAAAGGTTGGAGGTTCAAGTCCACCCAGAAGTGCCTTGGAAGAAAGGTTTGGTGAACTGTTTCCAAAAAATCAGCCACTGAAAAACGAATGGAACACAGTTCTACTCTGACACACATAGTATCACCGTGAGTTGGAATCAACTCAGTGGCAACTGGTACTGGTACAAGTGAGGAGAAGATGTGGCCTCACAGGTGGCTGCTCTGCCTTTGCCAAGGCTATGTGGATACATAAACCAAATTATAGAGAGGGTCTATGGCTTTATTCTGTGAGTGCCTTCTAAATGGGACCTGGGGGAGGATGAGGTCCTGAAGTCAGTCTTGGGGAGATCTTTATCTGTAGGGCTGTGTCAAACATCTGGGGCAAAAACTTTCCTGAGAAGAGCACATGTATCTTTTCCACACTGTTAATAAAAACATTGAGACTCTTAATGAAGTTCTTGACCTGTGAGGGCTACCCAGGGATTCAATGCTCATTCCTAGGTCTACTAGGGTCACCTCAAAAAATGTGCCCCCACACACACACAACCCACATAATAAAACATTAAGTAGAACATGTTATGTCAGGAGGGAGACACACAAAAAGAACAATAACAATTCCAAAGGAGAGAACTAACTTTCAGCCTTGTGGTGTAAAGTCTGATTCATATGGGAGAGGACTTTGAGCTGGGTCTTAAATAATGGCTAGGATTTGAATGCATGAGGACAGGGTAGAGAGATCCTGAGAGGAGTAAAGAACCAAAGTGGCTAAGGAGTTGGGTTTGGGGAAGAGTAAGTCATCGGTTCAGGTGGAGCATAGATAAGGAAGGGGGAGGGGGATAAACAGAGGTCAAGTAGGTAGGGATCAGGTCATGGAGGTGGTGAATGACATGCTAAGGACTTTGGATTCTATTCTGTGGCAATCTGGAAGCTACTGAAGGGTTTTCTTTCTGAGGAATTCATATCACATCATATGACATTGTGATATGTGTATATGTAAAGTATGTATCCTTGCTTTTTGAAAGTTGAAATTGTACCAAATGTTTCATTAAATTTTAGAATTTTTTTCATTAACATTTAAGCATCTTGCTTAGATGTTACCTGTTTTTAGAACTTTATGTGCATCTTTAACACATTACCTTTTTTCTTTTTTTTGTAACGTTTTCCATGGAGCCCTGATGGGGAAGTAGTTAAGAGCTCAGCTGCTAACCAAAAGGTCAGCAGTTGGAATCCACCAGCCGCTCCTTGGAAACCCTCTGGGACAGTTCTACTCTGCCCTTTTGGGTCGCTGTGAGTCGGAATTGACTCGATGGCAACAGGTTTTTTTTTTTTTTTTGGTTTAATGTTTTCCACAGAAGCTGTCCTTCATTCTTACAGCCTATAATCTAGAGAAAAATAACTTTCTTTTTTCTGACAGTCGACAAAATTTTATGGGATTGACTGTTGCCTTGGACAGTGACTGGAAAGCTCATGGCCAGCTGTTCTGGGATGATGGACAAAGCATTGGTGAGTACTGGAGAATGTTCCAGGGTTCCTGCACCTCATCCAGGAAAACCATAGCGCAGAGCCTCAGCACACAATCACTGTGAACTGAAAACCTACCTCTGTTTTTTTGCTACTGTTAATAAGGAACGATGTTGGTAAAATTGTTGCAAATTTTGCCTCTTTACATGTATCATTCCCTGGGTGGCACAAACAGTTAAGTGCTGGACTACTAACAGAAAGGTTGGCGATTCAAACCCAACCAGAGGTGCTTTGGAAGACAGGCTTGGCAATCTACTTCTGAAAAATTACCCATCGAAAACCCTATGGAGTACGGTTCTACTTTGACATGGATAGGGTCTCCAGCAGTTAGTACTGATTTGATAGCAGCTGTTTTGTTGTTGTTGTTGTTATAGATCAGGTATCCAGCTTTTCAGTTGAGGCACTGATGTTATGGATTTATCAGGATGATCTACTGCCTCACCTGATAAGACAGGGTGCTGGCAAATAATCAGATTGACAATGTATTCATTTTCAATGGAAGATAGGCCTGGCTCTATTATTTGGGCCAGCTGTGCATCGTTTTTCTCAAAAATAGACCCAGTCAGGAGACAAATTAGAGCTTATGAAATTTCTTGGTGATGCGGGAGTAGGTCATGAAGTGTTGCCAAAAGGAGACTCACATGGACACAACGTTCCTTTGCATGCTTCCTTCCCTTCAGTACTGCCTGTCCTACCCTCTACCCCCTACTCTGGACAATTGATACTTGCCATTAAAATCAGAACACCAGCTTCCTCAGACATTGCTACAGAAACACTGACACCCTGTTACCAACCAATTCTCATTTTTCAATACCTGTTATGTGGGTAAGAACATTCTTATCTTGTAACATGTCATATTTTCTGAAATTACAGCTTATTTTTCACTAGTAACATCTTTAAAGGTTCCCTCTTTTTAGTTTTCTTCATTATAAAGGTAATATTCTTTCATCTAAAAAAAGAATTTTAAAGAAAGAAAGAAAAATAATACACCCAACCACTTTTAATATTTCTGCTATATTGCCTTTTGTTTTTATATTAAGAGAATGCTTAACTTTTTCTAGTCCTGAAAACTTACCACATATTTAATTGGTGAATCCTGCTTATTTCTCCTTAGCACAATAACAGAAAGATGTCTAGATGTTATTATACACTCTTTATAAACACTATTATGATGGCCATAATCCAATGAGAGGATTTTCCACAATTTACCTAACTTGTTACTAGTACTCTCTGTAAAGATTGTTTTCAGATGTTCTTGCATTATAACCTCCTGACCCTTGCCTCAAAACACCCCCTTCCACATAGCTAGCCCCCACACTAACCCTCAGCTACTACCTTTAGTGTTCCTCAGATAGGCGATCATCATCCTGGTGATCCTTGTGATACTATTGAGTTGTTGTCTGACTGTACTCAAGGTTGCCTGCCACAATTCAAGCAATGAGTAGTTGCTTTTCCTTTTCTTCTTTTTTAATTGTGATTTAGGTGGAACTTTACAAAGTGTCTTAGTTATCTAGTGCTGCTATAACAGAAATACCACGAGTGGATAGCTTTAACAAAGAGAAATTTATTCTCTCACAGTCTAGGAGGCTAGACGTCTGAATTCAGGGTGCCAGTTCCAGGGAAAGGCTTTCTCTTTCTGTCAGCTCTGGAGGAAGGTCCTCGTCATCAGTCTTCCCCTGGTCTAGCAGCTTCTCCATGCGGGAACCCCAAGTCCAAAGGATGCATAGTGCTCCTGGTGCTTCTTTCCTTCTTTCTTGGTGGTATGGGTCCCCCTGTCTCTCTGCTCGCTTCTCTCTTTTATATCTCAAAAAAGATTGGCTTAAGATGCAACCTAATCTTGTAGATTGAATCCTGTCCCATTAACATAACTGCCACTAATCCAACCTCATTAACATCATAGAGATAGATTTTACAACACATAGGAAGATCACATCAGACAATCACACAGTACTAGGAATCATGGCCTAGCCAAGCTGACACTTATTTTTTCCCCTTTGTTCTCATTTTTTAAAAATGTTTTTGTTTATTGTTGTAGTTTAAGTGAAAGTTTACATTTCAAGTTAGTCTCTCATACAAAAATTTATACATACATTGTTATGTGACCCTAGTTGCTCTCCCTATACTGTAACAGCACACTCCTCCTTTCCACCCCTGATTTCCCATGTCCATTCAACCAGCTCCTGACCCTCTCTGCCTTCTCATCTCACCTC